TCCACTGGGGTACAAGTTATATGGGAAGACTAGAGTTACTGCATCTTCTGCCAATCAAGCAATCACCATTAGACAACCTAACCAAGAGCAACTCAATAACAGCACTCAGATGTCTTTAACTCAAGAGCAATATGCTCAGTTGATGGCCTTGCTCAAACCACAAAACAACCAGCTTTACACACCCTCAGCTAACCAAGTGAAAACCCGTGTGCCCTCCTCTACAAATGATGTTGACATCCCAAAGATCTCCGGTATTTCTCTTTGTCTCTCTGTGTGCAACCCAAAACCAAAAGATGTTTCTGACATTGCTTGGATTGTAGACACCGAGCAACAAATCACATGATCTGTTCCCTAACCTTCTTCACAACCATCAAGGCAAAAATCGATCACTCTGTTACTTTGCCAAATTGGGACTTTGTTAAAGTCACTCATATCAGAACAATTAAAATAAATGAAAAGCTAATCTTACATGATGTTCTATGTTTGCCCTCCTTCGGTTTCAATCTGATATTTGCTAGAAAATTGTCACAAACTTCACATTGTTGTCCTATCTTTCTTCCTGAAACCTGTTTTGTGCAGGACCTTTCCACTTGGAAGACGACTGGAATGGGTGAAGTGAGAGATGGCTTGTATCGCTTAATGCAAAATAAAGTTCCTTCACAGCCTTGGATGATGTCCTACCTTTCCTAGCCAACAAATTCTCCCAAATAGCTTCTGTCATCAGCAACCAAGAAGACGCCAATATCTAGTACTACAGATTAGGACACCCTTCAGATTCCAGATTAGATTTTTTAACTCTTAAACATCTACCTAAGGAAGCTAATACCAAAACACCTTGTCCTATCTGCCCTCTAGCAAAGTTGCATAAATTACCTTTTCCCATCAGTCAACATAGGTCACAGAAATTCTTTGAATTAGTCCATTGCGATTTATGGGGACCTTGTAATGAAATAGCTTATGACAGGTCGAGATATTTCCTTAGCATTGTAGACGATTTTAGCGATGCACTTGATTAATGTTGCTGAAGCTTAAATCAGATGCTACTAGTGTTTTACAGAATTTTTATGCAATGATTGAAAATCAATTTGATTCCAAAATCAAAGTAATTAGGACTGATAATGGAAGTGAATTCGAAATGAAACATTTCTATTCTGAAAAAGGTATCATCCACCAAAAATCATGTGTAGAAACCCCCCAACAAAACGCTATAGTCGAGAGAAAGCATCAACATATCCTAAGCGTTGTAAGGGCCTTAATGTTCCAAAGTAGAATTCCATTGAAGTACTGGTCTGATTGTGTCCTTATTGCAGTCCACCTCATAAATAGAACCCCTTCTCCACTCCTCAAACACAAGACACATTTTGAACTCCTTTTCAAAACTAAGCCTACGTACTCTTACCTAAAAGTCTTTGGCTGTTTAGCTTATGCCTCTATACTCACTCACAATTGACATAAATTTGATGCAAGAGGAAGGAGATGTGTGTTTTTAAGATTCCCTTTTGGGATTAAAGGTTACAAGTTGCTAGACTTGGATTCAAACAAAGTTTTTATCTCTCGAAATGTTGTTTTCCATGAAAACATCTTTCCTTGCAAAAACTTAGATACTGTCAGTCATCCTTTTTTACCAACCTTGACTGAAAAGCTGTCTGATCAACATCAAACACTAATATAAATTTCTCTATTGAGCAAACTTCTCCTACCCATGATCAACCTTCACAGTTCTTAGACCAATCGCCTGCTTACTAAATCCATATGATCAACCTGAGCCTTCTATGGAATCACCTCAGAGTAATCCCACCAGTTCTCACTTGCCTCGAAGGTCCAATAGAGACAGAAGACCACCCTCATATCTACAGGATTTTGTATGCCAACAAGCTCTTTTACTTCTCAATTCACAGAAGTTCGACAAGGAGGAAGGCCATGACAGATCATGTAGTCATTTCCCTTTATGTGCTACATTATCATACCAAAGACTGTCTTATCCACATAAAGCTTTTTTTAATTCCATATCAACACATATAGAACCCAAAACATATCAACAAGCTGTTAATTATGTAGAATGGCGTGAGGCCATGAAAGTTGAATTATTGCACTAGAGATGAATGACACTTGGGTTGTGACTAACTTGCCTCCTGGAAAGGTTGCTATAGGCTGCAAGTGAGTGTATAAAATTAAGTTCAATGCAGATGGGAGTGTGTGGAACGGTACAAAGCTAGACTTACGGCAAAAGGGTACACACAACAAGAAGGGTTAGACTATCATGAAACGTTCTCACCTGTAGCAAAACTAGTTACTGTAAGAACTTTGTTGGCTGTTGCTGCAATCAAGGGCTGGTTCCTACATCAGTTAGACGTAAACAATACATTCTTACATGGGGACTTAGATGAGGAAGTATATATGAAACTACCTTCTGAATATTTCAAGGAAGATGAATCAAAAGTTTGTAAACTTCGCAAGAGTTCATATGGACTCAAGCAGGCCTCCAGACAATGGCATTATAAGCTGTCCTCATTCATTATTCAGCAGGGTTTTCAACAATACAAATCTGATTATAGCTTGTTTACGAAATGCACCAAGGATTCTTTCACAGCCATATTGGTCTATGTTGACGACATTGTAATAACAGGCAATAGTATGCAGGTTATTGAAACTTTAAAGTCGTCTCTTGATGCCAAGTTCAAGACCAAAGATATGGGGGTACTGAAGTACTTTCTTGGAATAGAAGTAGCACGGTAAAAAAAGGGGATTCATATTTCCTAGAGCAAATATGCTCTAGATATTCTTGCTGATTCTGGAACCATTTGAGCAATGCCAGCCAAAATACCATTGGATCAACACATCAAACTCTCCAAAAATCAGGGAGAAATACTTCCTGATCCTTCTATTTATAGGAGACTTATTGGGAGGCTCCTTTATTTAACAATAACTAGGCCTGATCTTGCATACTCAATACAACTTCTTAGCCAGTATATACAAGCTCCCAGAATTCCACACCTAAATGCAACTCATAAAGTAAGTATATTAAACAAGCTCCTGGACATGGTTTGTTTTATTCCTTCGCATCCAGTCTACACCTCAGATCCTATTGTGATTTAGATTGGGGGGCATGTCCAGATACAAGGATATCCATCACATGGTATTGTGTTTTCCTTGGGTCATCTCTAATTTCCTGGAAATCCAAGAAACAAAACACTATTTCTAGATCTTCTGCAGAAGCTGAATATAGGGTTATGGCTAGTGTTTGTTGTGAACTAAGCTGGCTCAGATATTTGCTCGATGACTTACAAATCGATCATCCTCAAGCAGCATCATTAGCTTGTGACAATCAAGCTGCTCTACACATTGCCGCCAATCCGGTCTTTCACGAAAGGACCAAACATATTGAGCTAGATTGTCATTTAATCCGTAACAAAATTGAAGAAGGTAGTATCGTTACTGAACATGTTAGTAGTAATACTCAGATTGCAAATATCTTGACTAAACCTTTGGCTTCAACATACTTTTATTCTCACCTATCCAAGATGGGAGTAGAAGACATCTACTCTCCATCTTGCGGGGAGCTGTTAAAATATGACAGGAAGAATGCAGGAAGAAAGCTCATTGCCAGCAAAGATTCCAACAAAGCTAAAGTTTGCCAGCAGAGTTAACACCATCGGCAATGCCAGCTACGCATTGAATTCTAGAAGGATCAGCCGTGGGCTCCAGATCTGTTATGAGTGGAGCAATTATTTTTTGTTGAAACCGATTGTACAACTAGTGTAAAGTTTGTTAGAAATATTCTTTCTTTTCAATTATATAAGTGCACTACCAGTTTGTATTCTGATACATAGTGAAAGACGGAGAAAACTTTTTTCTTTCATTCCCTGTGCAATTTGTTCATCTTGCATGATTAATTTTCTTTTACACGTGCATAGAAGACTCTTTTCTTCATCGTACACCTTTCTTGTTTTTTGCATTGTATCTCAAACAGTCTATGATTTTCGAGACGGACTGTAGAACAACAATTTACCTGAATCGGTCATGAAGTTTTGGTAAGGGTCGACAGGGGCTTGGGATCAACATCGACTTGTTATGATCGTTCACCATTGTCGAAAGGGGCACTAGTGAGATATTTTTTATTGTCAGCCATTTTTTTGTTATTGAATGCTCGGGGTGCAATCTAAGAATCTAAGGGAGTCCCAATCCTGAAGATCCAATGCTTACTTGTATGTGCAAGCTTATCGGACACATGTTTCTTCAATCCATATTTCACAACATTTTATGTAGCCATGATTGTTAAAGCGTTGGTGCAAGTTCTCAGATAATTGTTATTTGAAAAATAAAAATTAATTATATTAAACGAAGCGGAACATCCCGACCCCATCTCATTGTCATTCCTAATTTAAAGTCGCATTCAAAACTTTAGATAATTAAAATGTGCTTAGGATATGTAATTCAACTCGTTGCACAGAGGTCCTGAAATGTTTGAAATCCTTATAATATAAATCAGCATTACTTTTATGAGTTCGAATCTCGCAAAGGAAGGAACAAAAAGATTCTCACCACTTCAAAATGAAAAGCAACATAAAGACATTTTACCGGATGAATATATGAATAATAAGTGATAATTATTTGTGTGGATAAAAAATAAGTCTAACTTTATCGAACATCCATGTTATCACGATATCATTCTTTCTTTTTAGGCAAATATATACGCAATTCTTGAATTTAGATAAATCAATGCAAATTATTATTTAGCAAAAACGTCGACAACCCAACTCGTCATGAAAGCAAATACCACACATATCGCAACTCTTTTCAAAATCTCGCTCGCTAGCTCGCTAGCTACTCATTTTCTGTTTGAGCGCAGATTTTTTATTTTTTAAACAAAGTTCGATGCATTTATTATAACATAAACCATGCAACATTAAAGAGCATATCCACTCGAAAATGATCTACTTTCACACTCGATAATATAGGAATTGATTAGTTGACCAAAAATAATAAGCTCCAATTCCATGTCAACACATAGCATACTTTTGGGTCCAGCTCCGAGCCATTGATTCATACTTGGCTCTATCAGTTTTGTACATGTGAGCAATTTCTGGAACCAATGGATCATCTGGGTTCGGGTCCGTCAGTAGCGAACATATCGAAAGTAAAACCTACATACAAACAATATTTGCACTTAAAATCAAATGTAAATTGCGTTATGGATTTTTTCAACCTTTAACTATAGTTGCAGAATCACGAAAATAGTATAAATTTCTTTTAAATCATCACGTGACCCTCACGAGTCACATGTCCAATTTATGAACCTAAATTTTGTTTCTCAGCTTGGATTAAGGCCAAAAATTTTGAACGGATACATGTCTCCATAGAAGTCATGTGACGATTATGACGAAGATTTGAATAATTTTCGTCATTAAAACATAATTTTGAAATTGTTGAAAGGTCGGAGAAAGAATCACCTTTGATATGGTGAGAGCGGGACTCCACTGTTCCTTTAAGATATCCAAGCAAATATTACCATTATTATTGACGTTTGGATGAAAAACTTTTGTCCTGAAGGCAACCTGCTCATCAATTCGTATAATAAATAACGATTTTTTTTTCTTTTTAATAATTAACAATTAAATGAAGGAAATAAATTAATTTAATTTGAATTTACCTTTGGAGGTTTAAATGGATAATCAGGAGGGAAATGGATGGTAACTTGGAAAACACCCCCTGCATATGGGCTCTCATTTGGCCCAATTATGGTTGCTTGCCAGTGAAACATATCTTGTGCCACCGGACCTGCATTCAATATTTTAAAATAAATAAAAAATAAATAAAATGAGAAATGTGAATATACTGACTCGACCACACGAGACTATGCAGAAGGATATGACATTATTAACACTAATTTTCGACCCATGTTGGAGTACTCTTAAGGGAAGATGACTAGGACTGCGATGAGTCAACAAAATTCATTATTAGATGTGGTGACACGTAGAATGAAAAGGCAGACGTAGCAATGAATGATAAGGAAAGTCGAGGATGTTGAACCTGCACTGCAGGAAGTAGGAGGGTCTCTCTGTAATTCCCTGAGCTCCTTGAGAATTCTCCTAGATGCCATTTTGATTGAAGAAAGCAACTCAACTTAATTTTCACAATGTTTTCAGACAATTTCTCATGGAAGAAATTGGGTGATAGACAGAGCATATATACACACAAACCAAGACTGAGTGGGAAATTTCTAATCAGGTGAGCACGGTACAGATTCCTTGGCAAAAAGTAGAAGCTAACAATCTCTTAAGACTTTCCCAATATGCTCCCCACATCAATAGTCTTAGTATAGTTGCTTGTTCTTGATTTGATTCTAAACATTGGTTAGTTGTCTGCTCCACTACCGAGTTTTATTCAGCATTATGTACTAAACGTGTTCAATTGAAACTTTTCATGCACGAGAGAGAGAGAGAGAACCAATGGATTCCATTCATGCCACTACGACCTGTGGGCCCCATTTCTTCAAATTGACAAAAAGATTCGATTGATAAGAAGAAATGTCAACTTGTTACTTCCTAGTGTAGGGATGCTATTAAAATTGACCCCTCTTCCATTGTCCCACGTCTAATTGCCTCTAATAATGGAATCTTATCTTCTAATAGCTTTTATTATTTCAATCAAAGGACATTATTCGACTTCACCCACTAGAACAAAAATAGATAGAAATAATAAGGCATGTAGCTTGAAAATTAAGCCAATCTGAAAAATAAAGAATAAACCAATTTTCCAAAACGAGACGCAAGGTATGTAATAGTGTATCGAAAATTTAAATGAACTCTTTCTCTAAGTATCAATGAAGCTAAAATAAATTAAGCCCCCGTTTGACACCCATTAATTTCTCGTTCTCATTCTCAATCTTCATTTCAACCACATATTTTCCAAATAAAATAATATTATACACAAATCAAAAACTTTTCATCACTTTTCCACCACACATTCTCACATCAATCACTATTCCAAAATTTCTATTTCTCCCAAAACGGGTTTCAAACAGGGGCTAAAATAATATTACATTCTCATTTTTCATTTCAACCACATATTCTTCAAATAAAATAATATTACACACAAATCAAAAACTTTTCATCACTTTTCCACCACACATTCTCACATCAATCACTATTCCAAAATTTCTATTCTCCTCAAAATTAAATTCAAACACAAGCTAAGACACAATTTACTATAGAAATTACTAATACAAGGCAGCAACATCACAAGGCAAGTTACTTTTGACAAGAAAAATTGGTCTGTTAATCCATAAAATAACAAATCAAAGCAGGATGAACATAAAAGCAGTGGCCTCCAGTGCAACTCTCTCAACATTGAGATTGAAAGCACGCCACAAACCGGCCACCGATATATCCCAGAGATCACTAGCATTTTCAGTGAACACATATACAAGGGAAGGGACCTAATTCCTCTAAGATAAAGAAATAGGAAGGGACATAAAGAGGAGTATAGAGCCTATTGATGATCAAAATATTGAGCAGGCCTTTTGAGCCTTTCCCTTCTTTTTCTTCTGCTTGGGAGGCTGGAGCACGACTTTAATGGCAGCATCGAAAACCCCTTTCACATTCTGCAGTGAGCACATTTCGAGTAAGTTTTGTAATGTAAGCCTCGAGGAGAGAAGTTTTCTAAGATATATAAGACAGTCTCTATAGCAGACATACAAACCTGCTGTGATTTTGCACTACACTCAATGTAGGAAGGTGCTCCAATGATTTTCCTCAGCTCCTCCCCCTGGAAGTTGAAAGAGAGAAACAAAATGCTTGGAAATGAAACTATTCATTTCAAAAAAAAAGAAAGATGTACAAGAAACAAACTAAAATTTTGTTAAGGAAAAGAAAAGGAACATAAATTCTTCACCTGAGCTGTAGTGATTGGTACTGCACCCGGATGGTCAATGAAGAATTGCTTGTCATCTCGAAGATCTGAGTCCACAATCATTAAGTTTGTCACAAATGAGACACTTCATATAACACATCATAAACAACATTCACTTGTAAGGTTCTTTCATAGAATGCAGAGATGTTTATAACATGGATAAACACACGTAAATAATTTCGCAACCTACCAAACTAATGAACTAGTGAGTAATGAACGTCCACAAACCCTTCCTCCTATTAAATTGTAGACTGATTCCTAAATAAAACGGCTATATACCAAACTAGAACATAAACTAAATAAGAACATCCATAGACCATTGCAGCAATCTATATAGCAACATAGACAACGTCGTCAGCGAACGAAAACCAATACAACTAAGCATTTGTAAACCTATGCTAAAATCTATACAGAAACACAATGATGACGGCAACTACAAAAACTACAAAAGTAAATGTTTCCAGTCAAATTCAATGTATCGGTGGAAAAAAGAATGTACTTGATTAAAATGATGCATTTGGAAGCAATCAATCACCTAAACTTACTACGATCAGGAGGCAAGAGCACAGTATATGTGATGTTGAACTGTAGACCATCATAAAGATGTAATCCCTCCACTTCAAAATGAATGGGATTATTTAAACTTTTGTAGTAAGCTGACATTTTCAGGCAAGCATCTATAGTCCCCATTTTATATGCAAAAAAAAAAAAAAAAGCGCTTGGATCCCAATTCAAATTTCTTTGGTATTTTGATCTCCAACCTTCAATTTGTGTAGCATTTGGATCCCTAATAATGGATTTCAACAAAAAAGCCGTTTACAGTTCACTTGCCACGCACAAGGTATGTTGTTTCGAGGGCAAATTGGGCAACTCAAAAAAAAAAAAAATAACCATCATCTTCGACCCCTCCGGTGAACAGCTCCGCGTCCAGCCCCCTCCCTCCCACCCTACCATCACCTCTAGTCTCCCCACCAAGTCACCTCCCTCTAGATGGGAGGGAGACATGGCAGGGCAACGCGGTGGGGGTTGGGTGGAAACAATTGATGTGGGGGAATAGGGAGAGAGATGGTCTATTTTAATTTTAAAATTTTCATTATTTTTCTTTTTCAATTCGTTAATTTAGAGGGTCTAATTGTCATTTTAACAAATATTTCTAGTCACGTGTGAATCAACAAAATTTCAAATGGAATTCAATGTTGATCAAGATGCAAAACAAAAGAAGTTCGGCAACCCAGAGATATTTAGTTTAATTCAACTAACTTGTATGTGCCAGTTTGCCTAATTTTTACCTAGAGATATTTAGTATAATTCAACTAACTTGTGGACATAATTACTTAACTAATTCAAATTCAAATCAACTGCCATGTATTGAAATATTTTTTATATGTAAAAGGTACAGGGTTCAATTCCGTGTCTATCCAATTTTACTTATCAAAAGAAATATTTTTTTAAATAAAAGTTTGCATGGTTCAATGCAACTATGAAAATAATGCTTGGGAAACCATCATGTTGACACGCAAGAAACAAAAAAAGAAAAGAAAACATCCATCCATTAATTTTGAGACAGAAAGTTACTAACTTCAGCTACAATCCAGGCTTTTCTCTCTCTCATTGTTGGGTGAGTGCATGTGTTTTTTTTTTTTTTTTTTTGTGGGTTAGTTACACCTGCAGTCCCCAATATTTTCATAACCTTTCATGATCAAATTTTGCAGATCAGTTCCACAAGTAAACTCGATCAAATATCTTACCAAGTTTTGTGCCAACAAGAACTATAGGAACGCCAGGAGCATAATGCTTCAATTCCGGAATCCACTAGAACAACAAGCCAAAGAGGAAAATTTTATCAAAACAAAAGGAAATGTCTTAAATAACGCAAAACTGGGTACTATAACCAATAAAACGCATTCTTCTAACTTGTTAAAGCCATCAAGGCCTCACCTTCTTTGATACATTTTCATAGCTGGCCTTGCTGATGAGAGAAAATGCCAAAATGAAAACATCAGCTCCACGATAACTCAAAGGTCTTAGTCTATTATAGTCCTCCTGTCCTGTAACAAAAACAATCAGCAGGTACGTAAAAGTGTACGTAATTAATTTATATGTATGCTGCATACACACATGCAACATGCTATAAATATACACATCATGAAGATTTTTATAATGGTTACCAGCAGTATCCCACAGGCCCAGATTAATGGTGGCTCCATTGACGACCACATTTGCACTGAAATTATCAAATACAGTAGGCACATAGTCCTGTTCCATTTAAATGCAAAAGAAGATATTAAAGTATGTTACAAGTTTGGGAAAAAGTAATAACATGCTCCAAAACGTAATAAATTATCATATAAAATGAGATCATTCACACCATGAAAAAAGTGGCATAAATGAGAACCAACAAATATGGACTGATTCTCAAAGATATTTGTACCAACCCTCTTTTGATACGACCTACTTTCAATAAGTTTTGGCTACAAAGAAAAACTTTTCTTGGCTTCAATGACAATACCCAATACAATCTGACATCATTTCATTTCACGATTTAAACTGAAGAATAAAGCTACTTTGACATTCATTTTTGCATCTTGGCTAACATCCCATGATGTGTAAAAAATCTTACTATTGATTTGAATACGTGTTATTCAAATAGAATAATGCTAGATGAGCACTCCAAGTGTACACTCTTGTTGAAATTTGATGTGGTGTGAAAAGATAATTGGTGGGAAATTTGTTTACTTTTTATAAATTGTCCAATGGTGTGTTGCCACATGGCACGTGTAAAAAATGATGCATATGTATTATGATTGATTCAAATAAATGGCCAGATTGTCTACCACATAATGGGATGTCAATGAAGATGTGTATAGCAAAACTGTAAACAGAAATAGGAATGGATATGAACTCGGTAATTCGAGAAGTTAAGCTAAAGTGGGAACAGACATGGAAAATTCCAATGCTGTTAGTCCTTTCTGGAACTCAAAATGCAAAAACTATAATTGCTGCCCCCACAAAGAAAAAGAGTAATATGGGAAAAGCGAAAATTAAGAAACATAAAACTCTGAAATACACAGCTGCTGAAGAATCCCTGTGACTGATTGAAGATTCAAGAATATAAAGACTAGTGAACATCCATGAAAGGAAACATGAATATTAAGTTATTAAATCCAGCAATTCTCCTGTTCTACGATAAAGAATATTTCAGAATTGCAATAGCGATAATGAAAATTGGGGAGGGGGAGGCAAACCGTGGGAAAGGTGTTGCTGGTGTAAGAAATCAAGAGACAAGTCTTTCCAACGGCACCATCCCCTACCGTCACGCACTTTATGAATCTAGATGCGCTCATTATCCGTAAATCTCCTCTTTTTTTGTCCTCTCTCAGCCAGATCTTCTCCCGAAGACCTGATTCGATACAATGTTATCACCTACTAATACGACTTTTTTTTCCCTTTCTCTACCGCTTCAATGCCGGCATCTGTGTATCTGTCTCAGCAACAAAATGAGGCAAAAAATATTCAATCGAAAATTAACCCTAACTGGAAAAATGAAAATGCAGGATGAAGAATGGAAGGCAATGAGAATTTGGAGGGAGAAAATGGGGATCGAGATCTAGAGAGAGAATGAATGTGGGAGTGTGCGATGAAGAATACCTTATTTAGCCGGGAAATAATGCCGTTGAAGCGTTCTCTTTCTCTCTCCTGGTTCTCTCGCTCCATCGCCATTGAAATAGTAGGATTTATTGGTAATCATTTGCTAATTCTTTACGCCTTTCTCGCTTGGGCCGGGTCGATTTTATATGGGCCTTTTTAAACAAGACTTTTTCCCAACAAGAAGTAAACACGCAGAAAATTTAGAGAATGTTTGGCGAGAAAATTATCTCAAACCCTTCTTTTCAAGATTACAATTCAAAAATAAGGGGACGAAGTTTACATTTCAAAATTCAGATGTTAATTATGCCCCCGTTTGGCACCCGTTTTTTTCCCATTTTTGAACAGGAACTTGCATTATGTGTGGGCCCCAGTGTCTTTCAACATGTTAGACTTGCTAGGATCCGTTCCCAACACGGTTTTGGGTACAAAAGCTAGTACAATTATTTAGATTAAATTCTTGAAATGCCCTTATATTGTGTACTATTTCAAATTAATTTGAGGCCAAAATTGGTAAGTGTAATTCAACGGTCATTTGAGATGAATGTATGCTCTGACACAACAATTGAATGCTTCTATTTTTTAATGATAAATGCACTGTTTAAAAATGAATTTTTCCCAAAAAACCAAACGGGGGCTATATTTTATAATTATAATTATTAAAAATTTAATTACAATATATAATTAATGGGTTTTGCTACTTCATAACCGGTACCTTTTTAATTCATAACTCAACTCACATATCTCTCTCTCCAGAACCATCCCAGATTTCTCCCAACCCGTCGCCTCTCTCTCTCTCTACATTTCTACCAGCCCGTCGCCATTTTGAGAATCGTCGATTAATCACCGACCACCTATCCATTGCACAGATCTGTCGCTTCGTGCGCCGTCGCCTCCCAGCCCCATCACCCCAACCGTCGGCGTTGGTACCGTTCGGAGATGGCAGTTTTTGTTTGGTGGTTATGGTTATGATTTACACTTTTTCGGCATGTTTATGTCGTTGATTGCTTCAATTCATGGTGGTGAGGCTCCTCTTGGTGCTGCCTTTCGAGGTTCTCTGAGTGAGACATTTGGATCTCCCTTTCCCTGGAAATAGAAGTGACTTTTCTCCCTTCATGAGTGCTACTGATTTGCTGTTTCTGCTGCTTCTTTCTGCAATTTTTCATATATTCGTCGTACAAATCAATTGCTCCATGATGTTTGAAATCCATTCCAGTTGCTGTTGTTTTCATTTGCACCGCCATTACCGTTGGGTGGGATTGGGGTAACTGGTGCATAAGAATTATCAAAGAACCACTCAGTTGATAGATTTGCACTTGTTCCGTCTTTTGCTAAACTGCCAATTCTAGAAGCTTCTTGTTTTGCAATTTTCAGATTCTGAAATGGCCTCTTGTTTCCGATTCTAGGTTCAAGATTTGCAATAATCGAGACACAGTTTTCCTTCTAATTCTCTTCAACAAAAAGCATAGCCATTCTTTGTTGCTGCAATTTCCAGTGCAAATCTTGGTTGATAGAGCTCAAGGACTCAATAGAAGTTGCTAGGCTGTAGTGAGTGAACGATAATTTTGAGTAGTTGAAGGTGGCAGTGGTGGTGCATTGGAGGTGATGGTGGTGATGAATGGTGGTGGATTGTGGTGCTGGTCCGTGGTTTAAGCGGATTTGTTTGTGGTTTGACCATCAGGTAGTTTGTTGTAACCGATTGTGACCGTTTGTGTCTGGTTAATTGTGACTCATTGTGACCAATTATGATCGATTGTGACTTGAAATTCTGGAAATTTTTTGGGAAGTTGGGAATGGATGGATGGAGTGGATAGGTTGATCGGAGCATGAGTTGGAGTGGTCATTGGAGCAGTTTGCCAGAGGGATCGTGAATAGCTGCCGAGAGAGCGTCGAGGTGAACGTCGGAATAGTCATCGGAGAGGCCGCCGGATCTGTCGCCGGAGCGAACGTCGGAGAGATTGCCGGAATTGTTGCCGGAGCAGCCGCTGGAGTAGATGGCTACCTCCGATGGAGAATAGGAGTAGGGAGATGATAGAGAGCAAAGAGAAATAGAGTGATTTGGATTTGAAATTTAATAAATTGGGGTAATTTTATTATATTATAATTAAAAATATTTAATTGATTGATTTAACACCTGATTTTTGAAAAGACTTTTGAAATTTGTTATTTTTGAAATGTGATTCTTATAAATATGATTTATGTATTGTTCCCATGTTTGGTTAAGCTCAAAAAATTGACTTATAAGTAAGTTTTAAAACAATTTTTTTTATTGGTTAAAATAAAAAATAGTAATCTACTTATTTTGAAAGTGAATTTTATTTCTGTAATGTTTACTTTAATTAAGACTCATTGTTGAACTTCACAAAATGTTGTTTTCACACTTTCGAGTTCCGAATCAGTTTTTGGTGTACATTTTTTAACTGAATATTCTAGGTGTGAGTTTGACGACTTGTCACGTGAACATGTAGGATTTTCAATTAAAATGTTGGCCGTAAAACTGAATCAAGGATCTTAATGTAATATTTTGTAAAGTTCGGTGATGATTCTGAAATAAATTAAAGTTCAGCTGCCAAAGTGAAACTGAGTTCAAAGTTTAGTGGCCATCGGTAAAATTAATTATAAAGATAAGTTTGACAAGAGTTACTTTCAAAATAAATACTACATTCGTCTCATAAAAAATATAATTGTTTCTATTCTCACACGGGTTAAGAAAATGTAATACATATAGTCGAAAATATAAATTTTTCTTACATTTTTCTAATACAGCCCTACATTAAATAATGGTTTAAATAAGATTCATTTTTATTTGTGAATAACAATGTACATTGAATAGTGGCATATTATAAAATTAAAAAATATTTATACTTCGATAAGGAAAGTGGCCTACAATTTGAGATACAAGAGTTTATCTTCATGGGACGGTGTAGTAATTTTTTTACATAAAAGAAAGACGACATGTTCAAACATGTTTAGAAACATAAAGTTAGGTCATAATCAATACCCAACTTCAGACAAAATTTCACAATATAAATACACCTTAAAATTCTAGCTAAAAGACTAAGACCATGTTTAATTTAGATAAAAATCAGAAAATAATATTTAGAGCTTGTTTGAGAGGAATTTTTGGGAGAAGAATTGATTTTTGAATAGTGATATGATGGAAAATGTGTGGTTGAAAAAGAAGAAAATTTTTTTGATGTGATGAAAAATATTATTTTATTGAAGAATGTGTGGTTGAAAATGAGAATTGATTTACCGTAGAATTTGAGAATCTCTCCCGAACACCCCCTTATGGTGGAATAACTTTCAAAGAGATGGTTTACTAATAGATCGAGGGATAGTAATTTAACTCATTCATATTTAGATCATGAATGTTTGGTATCCATATTAAGTAAGGAGAAATTGGTTTTTGCTAATTCAAATTGAATGGTGATGTAAAATCGGTTTATTTCTGATATCATATCAATAGTTAGTCCATTCATCATAGCTATCAATTTTAGCTCCGTATCAAGGTCATGATCAATATCATCACTATTATCATAATTGATATCATCAATAAGAAACCTTTAGGCTTGTTATCCAGGGACTTGTTCAAAAATACAAAAATGGAAGAGACATAGAATTTTGTCTCTAGGTATTTGACCAAATAGGATTGTTAGCTTTGACTTGAATTTTAATCAAATTTCGTAGTTGAACCAAACAGGGGCTAAGAGCTGTGATTCCTTTTTAAAGCTCGTATTTAAAATACTGAAAGCTTATAAACAATATAAGAATCCATCGAATTGTATGAATAAAAATGGTTGAGTGTTTATAAACATGAGTCAAAAGTGTGTTTCAACTAGTTCGCTCAATAAAGTAAAGGAATTATTTTCCATTCAATTTTTCTTAACATGGAGTGATAATATATTGAAACATTAATAAATCTAATATCGAAAGAACAATACTACTTGTACATAAGTAATTATATAATGGTTTACATATAGATGATGTGTCAAAATTAGAGTGAAAAAGTGTGTTTTTATTTGGTTAACGAAATTCTGACTTAATTATATCTCATCATATTATGTGTATATAAGCCTAAAGCCATTATATAAATATATTATGTACATGTAACATAATCGATATCGAAATTTGCATCTTTAGCTTCTTTTTTGGACAAGTATCAAGTATACCAAAAAAGTTAATTGTTAGGAAAGTTGTTTCCACTTCTACACTTTTCCATCAAGAAAAAAAATCATAGCCACTTGGGAAATTCGTGGAGATCAGCATGTCAGGTTGGTGATATAGGGGGTGTTTGACACTCATTTTTGTGAAAGAATATGTTTTTGAAGAGTGATTGATGGAAGAATGTGTGGTTAAAAAGTAAGGAGAATTTTTAGGTTTATGTGTAATATTATTTTATTGATAAAATGTGTGGTTGAAATAAAGAAAGAGAAAAAAATGAGAATGAGAATGAGAAAAAAATGGGTGCCAAACGGGGGCATAATTTTAAATGATTATGAGTGGTGAATTTTATGAAAATTGTGAATAGGTGAGGAGTAATTGTGGATTATATATAGCACATGTTTGATACACATTCTTTAAAAAATCAATTCTTTCAAAACTCATTTTCAACCACACATTTTTCAATAAAATAATATTACACGTAAATCCAAAATTTTTCCTTAGTTTTTAGCTATATATTTTCCATCACATCATATCATGAAATGTTTTTTCTTTTCCATAATGTGCATAAAACACCCCCATAATATGAATATAAATTACTAACCAAACATGCACGTAAGAAATCAACCAGAATAGAAAATAGAAAAATATCCGTTGTACATCATCGTTTACATATTTTTTTTTACAGATTGACGATATGTCAAAAAGAAAGTAGGAAAGTTTTATTTTATTTTATTTATTTTTTGTCTAGTTGAATAGATTTTGATCAAATCGAACATCGTCACATCATTTATTGATAAACAAATTCATAAGTCATGATGTACGGTAAAATATATGTAGGGAAAATAATTAGCAAATTGACTGAGCCCAAGCCCACACCACCAGCCCAAGTGAGGTTCCAACCCAAAATCAATTGACAATGGGTGGAATAGCCCACTTAGGTTATATGGTGGATTTCTTTTCTTCTCCCAATCGATGTGGAACTTCTTGTTTTTTCCCAACAATCCTCCCTTCAAACGAAGGACCACATTATTGTGGCCTCCCCTCAAACGATAATCCATTCGCCAATCATCTTGTACCGCCGTTATTACTGTCGTCCTCGACCAAACGAGACTCGCCGCCTGACCACCAATGTCTGGAAGACTTTCGACACAAGGCACCTCAAACGCGAATGATTTTTAGCCCGATCGCCACCACGCTTTCTACTGCGTTCCTCCGACCCTATGCTCTGATACCAGTTGTAGGGAAAAAAATGAGCAAATTGACTGAACCCAAGCCCACACCACCAAGTCCAAGTGAGGTTCTAACCCAAAACCAATTGGCAATGGGTGGAGTAACCCACTTGGATTATATGGTGGATTTCTTTTCTTCTCCCAATCGATGTGGGACTTCTTGTTTTTTCCCAACAATATAAGATAGTTTGTCTATCAATTATTGCAACTCTTTGGACTCGAATCAACGATAAAGAATAACGGGTTAATTATAGTGAAAGTCACTGAAATCGTTTAGCTAAATCTGAGATTTATTATCATAAACAATTTTCCTTTTCTCTATCATATGTAACAGTGTTATTCTCTTCAAAGATGCATGTCCAAATAAACTATAGTCTTGTTAATAACAATTTTTTTTGTAATTAGACAGGAAAGTGATAAATGACTAGAGTACACTTTAGTTTAACATTTTTAATTTTTATAAGTAGAATAATTTATAAAATTAAATTTATTTGTATTTTATTAATATTGTTTAAAGTTTAATATCTCAAATTATTTTTTAAAACATTTCAATAGTTCAAATTTAAGGATAAATTTGAAGTGAATTCTTGCTAGATGACTTTTAAATCAACTGTGTGGTCAAACTAAGTCCTTGTTTGGTTCCATTATTTTTTTCTTTCTTATTTTCAATCGTACATTCTTCAATAAAATAATATTATACGTAAATCCAAAACTTTTCCTTATTTTTTAACTACACATTCTTCATCAAATCACTATTCCAAAATGCATTTCTGATAAAAAGAAAGAAAGATGAGGCTCAAACATGATCTAAATTTTTTACTTATAAGACAATTACCTTTACACTCAGAATAAGTAATTATTTCCCCTTGTAGATAGAAAAAGTAACTTATTGCTGTTACATACGGTTGACTGACATGTAACAAGCTAACACAAATCTATTCCAAATCTTGCGGGTATGTAAATAAAATAGAGTTCAATAGTCGCAATATATTACAGAAAACAAGTACACCCCTCTCTCTCCTGAAATATTTTTTTTTTGAAAAAAAGACCAATATTACAAAGTTGACGTTATGATAGAATACATGGATAAAAAAGACAAAAAATTAATAGCTGAGATTCTGAACTAGGATTTGCAAAATGCATGCAAAGTATCATCAAGGGCTTTCTTATCATAATCACTTGTGAATACGCAATTGCCTAATGGACCTTTCAGTAGTATGAGCCTTAGCAATCCATCAGCAACCTTTTTATCCACCTGAAATCAGATTAACCACCAAGAATTCAAAAGATAGATTCAAATTATTAGAGCTTTATGTGTGATAGATGTTCGAGTTCGTTGTCACTTACCGCCATTACAGATTTAAACATGTCTACAGTCACAGTTTCTGGAGGTGCTGTAGGTAAGTTTGCCTGCACTAAGATCTTATGCACCCGCTTTACAAGAGAATCATCTATCCAACCAAGCCGGTATGACAAGTCGACTGCCATGACCTGAAAATTTGACACACCAGCATCAATAAGAATGCGTATAGCGGGATCCAAGAACATACACATGTTAATCTAGAAAGTAAATATCTTCACACCGTGCCAGCAGCGACTGCCTCTCCATGGAACCACTCTCCATATCCAACACCATTCTCGATTGCCTGTAAATGCCAATAAAAAGCACTTTCAGGTGGATAATTCATATTTAAGGGGTGTCGCACCTCAAATGGTGAAACTATATGATTAACATACAAATTTTGTGAAAAAAAATTTCAATAAGACCTTGGTGAGGTCACCTTAATTAATCTTGGTACATATATAGCCTATGTTTGGCTAATTTTTATAAACTGTTTATAAACAGTCAAACCCCTTTTTATCCACACATTTCGTTGTTGACCCACAAGTACTACCCACTTATCTATTACTCATTTCTATCTATTTATAATTTAAACTATTTATAAACAATTTCCCAAACTAGCTTACAGTCGAATAGTCTGGTCCCAAGAGCTGAATTTAAACTAGTTCATCCTTTCTCATCACCAAATTTGGATCTCCATAATCCGAACTATAATGGTTAATGTAAGTCCATGCTTCACTTCAAATGTAACAAATAGCTCTTTTCATATCGCGAAATCATCCTTTTATGTTTAAAGTATCATTCTATACTTGTTATCATAAAACTGCACCTACATCCAAGCACCCTTGAGAAAAAAATCAGATGCTTGTTCTAAAATTAGACACCTGCTTGTGATCATATCTGAACGAGGGCTCATGTGTGTCAAACAAGTTCTCATAAGTTTGAAACTTAGTTTTAGCTGTCCAAATGTATTTCAAATGTCTAGAAACCGGTTAACACCTGGCATCATTTTCAGACTTCTCACTATGAAAACACTTTTCGCCAAACATATATTTGAAAACTAGCTATTACTTTTCAATTACCATTTGAAAACGAAAAAAGTAACAATTAGTCCATGAAAATTGACTTATCTTATATTGTCTTGTCATCTTCACCTACAAGTTGCATGAGCTCTACTCAGCTAGATTTTTGCCACGGATTTTCTGTTCCCAACTAGCTTGAATTGTAACATAGAAGTGATTGTACATCATTGTAGCATCAGCCGATTGAGAGGCTCCTTCTGACTTGAACCAAATCAAGACCCTTTTTATCTAATTTGTCGTAGTAGGACAGAACCCATGAGGTATCGGTTAAAAAACTTATTTTCTAAAACAAGTAGTTGTTGCTGGTGGAGCGTCCAAGTAAAAGATAAGGGTTACAGTTATTAGTAGACTGACCCTCCAAAGAAAAGATCAGGGTTTTGTAACTGAATTGACCTTCTACAGGCGGATGGTATTACAGCTACTGCTGATAATCTATTAGTGGAAGTATTGGAATCTAAAGGGGTCCTTTTTGATGGAGGACATAGATAGTTAAACTCAACCTCAGAAAAACAGAGTTTGCACATCTCATCTTCTGGAGTTCCTCCTTTAACAGGATATACATGCTCATATAGAAGTGTAATCTAAAACAGTTTGATGTTCAATAAAATAAGCTGAATTAATTTGTTCAACTTGCACTTGACCTCAGAAGGGATTTTATAGTAGATATCCACAGACATTCTCTAGACAACTAAGAAATAGTCTATACTCCTCCCAAGAGCCTTTGCTTACCTTAAGCACATCTATAAATTAGGCATTGGAGTGGTTGTTCAAAGTTCACCTCCGATACCTATCGCAAACTCTTTTCCAACTTGGGAGCTTAAGGGTAATTCATGCACAACAAACCTAGCTCACAAAATTCTAATGAATGTTAATGCAGTTCGTTTGGAAATTGTATATAGACACCAAATATAGAGTCAAGTAACATATTAAAATAGACATGAAAGTAGTGTCATATGTAGAAATCTTACATGACCAAAAGTGTGTCCCAAATTCAAGGTTGCCCTCAATCCACTTTCCTTCTCGTCCAAGGACACAACCTCAGCCTTGTTTTCACACGAACGCTTGATGGCATAAGTAAATGCACTGGGGTCCCTGCAAAGGAGCAAGCCCACTTCAACTTTAGGTCGAATGCCATTACAAAAATATCACACTTGGAGGAAAAATAATGAATAAGCACAAATATCTCATGAAAGTGAAAAATCCATTATAAATGATACCAAGTATATGCATGCTAATAGAAAGAAACAATGTCTCAGGATCCTTCAACACGTTGCAGACATCCCTCTTGCTTTCATATCTAACAAATATCTTATATCTAATCAAGTGGTTAATGGACAAGGGGAAGGAAGAGTAAAGGAACTAATGTCAATACTAAGGATATACGTTTTTTAGTGGTTTGATTATGCACAAAAGGAGTTGCTGAGGCAAGGTCCCACTAATGAAAAACAATGATACAAAAAAGCATCACTCTTAGCATCCTCACAACAGATTCACCACAAAAATTTTACCTTGCCATCAATGCCTGCATATTTTTCTCCTGCCACTCAAAAAATTCAGCATCTCTGATAAGCCCATATTTGATGACTTCTGCAAGCCCGGATGCTAATTCTCGATCTGGCAATGTGTTCAGTGTATCGGTGTCTATGAGCACACATTGTGGTTGGTAAAATGCACCAATCAAATTTTTACCGAGCCGGTGGTTTATTCCAGTTTTACCCCCAACAGAAGAATCCACCTAAAATAAGAATAAAACAATATAATTAGTGACAGCGAAATGTTGTACAAGTTATCTAGTATACCAGAAAATATCTGGACCTGTGCCATAACAGTGGTAGGAATCTGAATGAAATTAACTCCACGGAGGTAAGAAGCAGCAGCATATCCACACATGTCACCAATGACTCCGCCTCCAAGAGCAACAAATGTACAGCGGCGATCCAACCGTGACTCAATTGCTTTATCAAAGACTTTCATGAGAGTATCCTGTTAAAGCATGACAGGCAACATTCCTCTTAACCATATTTTCTTACCCTATACATTTAATTCAAGTTCTAAAAAGCTCAGGATTCCCACCATGTCCTTGAATTGCTCTCCATCTGGCAAAATCACACTCTCAACCTTGACATTAGGGTTTCCATCCGTCAAAGCCTGAATAGTTTTTTCAAGATACAGTGGTGCGATTGTGGTGTTAGTAACCACTAGGACTTGCTTGCCATGAACATGCCTACAATACCCATGCGTTGAAAATATCACAAGCCAATGACAAAAGAGAGCAAAAGCCAAAATGAAAGAGCTCATATACAACTTCATACTGGTGGAAGAGAACAGGGAAAAGACAGAACAAATTATGAATTTATGGATAAGACGGACTGAAAAGAAGGCAAGAAATAGTGCACAGGATCTGAAAACTTATGTTTTTTCTTTCTTTCTCCTTGGTGAATATGATAGCTAGCTCCAGAGAAAAAAAAAAAAAAACCCTGCTTTTAATGTATCGAGTAACTTTATACTATATATTGCCCATTTTGATTTCGCCACGTTTGGACCTTGATTCTTATTGATAGAAAATTAACATGGAAGAAGATATCACGCCCCTGAAGAGAAATGTGCATAGAATTTCTTTTGGCCATTGTTGACAAGAAATAAAACATAGAGAAGCTAGGATGTAATGAAAGAAAATATGGATGGGCATTAATAACCAATCCTGAAATCTGGCAAATAGAGAAACCTGTTAGATATGGGAGTGACTGATGGAGCCCAGGAACTCAGAAGCAAGCAATTACCATTATAGTATTAACAACATGCATATCTCCTTGATATTGAAGAGTATAACCATTCAAACTTTCGACAATCTGAAAGGCTTAAAAACACACTGGTAGTTTCTGAGCGTTCAGGCAACAAAGCCACGTCCCTGACTAGGTCATTTTGTTTTTTTAATTTCATAGGCCTTGGATAAAATATTCTAATAGCAGACTGACCCAAAACAAGTATCCTTTTTAGCGTTCACAGAATTTTAATAAGCAAGAGGACAGGCATTAACTAATATGAAAAACAGGACCTTTTCTACATTGAATCAATTTTGTCAGATATTCCATTTCCAGAGGAGGAAGAGAAACCAAAATGATGATCCCAATAAAAAATAAGTAAGTTACCATAAGTAATCAATTAAAGTCCAATGCCCTTAACTCTTTTTCCGCATAAATTTATAACAATTTATTTAAAAGCTACAACATCTAAATTTGAAAATATCAACATAATTATAAGCATATATGTGAAAGCAAGCAAAAGGCAACACAATTGAGTGATTGCCTGGTAGAGAAACGTTAATTAACAGGAAGGAAACCAATTAAAGTAACTACCTTTGAAGAAGTTGGGGTTGATCGAGAAGGCCAGAACCAATGTAAATTGGGTAGCTCCGATTTCCCAAATCGACCTCGACAATTGTAGGAACTGCAGGAGAAGAAGTGGTTTGACTAGGCGATTGATCCATAACTGGAGCAGCAGCTGAACTCCCCGACGCCATCAATCTATGCTTCACATTATTACTATTGTTATTAATCGAGACAATTGATGCAACAAACCGTGATGAACCGAAAGAACAGGACGGCTGGAACCGGAGAGATAATTCCGGCGAAATGACTTTGTTGCGGCGGTGATTGGTGGAAGTGAAAAGAGTAAGGGCGTGTTTGGGACAGAGAGACGAAGAAGCCATCGGATGCAATGAGGTTAGGTGAGACGGAAGAGTTCTGGTGACAAATTGCTTAAATGGGTTTTATTAAGGTGATGTTGATTTTATGTGAAAAATTTCGAGTTTGGTGGGTGAGTTGGGTGCAAAATGTGGTAGGTCTCCAGGCTTCAGGAAAAAAAGGACAAAAAAAAAAAAAAACTATTAAAAAATGTGGTAGGTGAATGGACACAAAGGAGTATAAAAAAAAAAAAAAAAAAANAAAAAAAAAAAAAAAAAAAAAAAAAAAAAAAAAAAAAGGAGAGAGAGAGAGACGTGAAATAAATGTTTGTCTCTGGGAGAAAGAATGGAGTTTTGAATAGTATTTTTTGAAGAATATGCGGTTAAAATTTAAAGAAATTTTATTGATTTGTGTGTAGAATATTTTATCATTTGAATGTTGAGAATGTTACTGTAGAAAATAATGTTTTCAAATAAAGGGATACAAAAAAGCCCAAAAATTTGTCTATATTTTTTTAAGAAAGACAGATGTAACAAAAATAAAGGGCGTGTTCGGTAGAGATTAAAATAGAAAAACTAGACGTTATTGTTGACTTGGATGAGTGATACTCAATAACTGCTATATTTTCAATTTTAATTGGATTTTAATCTTTACCAAACAAGTACAAAGTATAAAATATTATAAAATTTAAGGGTTTTGTCATTTAAATTAAATAGCTATGTCGCTTGAAATGATGGTGTCCTTTTTGCCCTTGTTTGGTTTGGTTTTTAAAAACAATTTTTTAGAAGTTTTTGGTAAAATATAATAAAATGTGTGATCGAAAAGTTGATAAAAGTTATTGATGCTACCAAAAAATTGCACATGTTGATTTCCCAAGCTTGACGACCGAGAACGAGCATGAATGAGATCTTCCGGTACCTGAAACAAAGGCGTCGAGGTGTGGCATCGTCACCCCTCCGATGCTTAACTCAGAAGAGTATTTGAGAGAAAATATACGCTGAGAATATGTGTAAACATGCGCCTGAATAATGATCCCAGACCCCATATTTATAGAGCTAGGTAGTAATGGGCTCCTAGTAGGACTCGTCACCTTATTTTTAGGAGTGACTTATGGTAGGAGTTAGTGTTGGATTAAAACTAGAAACCTCACCTTATCTAATCCATAGTATATTTTAGGATAGACTCTTTTCAGTCCTAGGATTTCTTGGATATGGTTGGAGTCCTTTCGAGACTAGGACTATCAATGTTCGATTATAGAGTACCTTGAGAAGTTGATCAAGGCAAATGCCCGACCACGTACATCTGGAGGACTATTGTTGTGATTTTGCAGGTATTCATGTGTTTTGAGCTCGAGGTATCCCGAGGACTATCAAGCCTCCGGACACGGTTCCTATAATTGAGGGTGGGGAACTCTGACAGTCCTCGACATGGTTCCTATAATTGAGGATGGGGAACTCTGACAGTCCTCATGCTCGAGGTGCCTATAATGACCACATTAGTTATAATCCCCATAAAAGGTGTAGTTAAAAATTATTTTGAAGAAAGACCAGTTCTAAAAATTGAGGCTAAATAGGAATCATTTAAAAGACTTGATCAAGAATAGTCTCCTTCTTTCGAAATATTTTACCCTTTCTATACTTATGTATTTTCATTTATAACTCTCTTCCTTTAATTAAAAGTTACAATATTTATGAAAGACTTGACTAATGACCACGTCAAAAAATTATATATAGGACCCATTATGAAGTATTTAATTCGAGAAAAATCCCTTTAATTTTTACAAATAAAGCAAAATAAAGGGAGACAAACAAGCCCAAAAATTTGTCTATATTTTTTAAGAAAGACAGATGTAACAAAAATAAAGTATAAAATATTATGAAATTTAAGGGATGCGTCATTTAAATTAAATAGCTATGTCGCTTGAAATGATAGTGTCTTTTTGCCCTTGTTTGGTTTGGTTTTTAACAATAAATTTTTAGAAGTTTTTGGTAAAATAGAATAAAATGTGTGGTCGAAAAGTTGATAAAAGTTATTGATGCTACCAAAAAATTGCACATGTTGATTTCTCGAGCTTGACGACCGAGAACGAGCACGAACGAGATCTTTTGGTACCTGAAACAAATGCGTCGAGGTGTTGTATCGTTGTCCCTCCGGTGCTTAAGTCAGAAAGAGTATTTGAGAGAAAATATACGCTGAGAATATGTGTAAACATGCACCTGAATAATGATCCTAGACCCCATATTTATAGAGCTAGGTAGCAGTGGGCTCCTAATAGGACTCGTCACCTTATTTTTAGGAATGACTTATGGTAGGAGTTAGTATTGGATTAAAACTAGAAGCCTCACCTTATCTAATCCATAGTATGTTTCAGGATAGACCCCTTTCAGTCCTAAGATTTCTTGAATATTGGTAATTGGATATGGTTGGAGTCCTTACGGGACTAGGACTATTAATGTTCGACTATAGAGTACCTTGAGAAGTTGATCAAGGCAAATGCCCGACCACGTACATCCCGAGGACTATTGTTGTGATTTTGCAGGTTTTCATGGGTTCTGAGCTCGAGGTATCCCGAGGACTATCATGCCTCGAGGACACAGTTCCTGTAACGACCCGAATTTTCAAATGTAAATTTTATAACTTAAGTTGTGTCGCTACGACGTCTCCGTCCAATTTTAGAATTTATTTTACGTCCGTCGAGTTGTCTAGCAAAACATTTAATATAATAATTCAAAAAACGATTTTAAACTTAAAAATTCAATACTTCCTTATTGGGTCGAATTTTACACCGACATCTATTTTAAAGTTCCTCATGGTCCAATATTCTTATTTGGCCCAAGATCAACTCCATTAACAGCCCAATCAAGTGTCCAAATTATAGAGCCTAGGTTTGCATGCCTCAATTGTATCAAAACCTAAAAAACGTTCAATCCACCTCCAAAATTTCACTCGGCAGAAATTCACAAGAAACCAAGGCATTCATCTCAAGTTCTTCCAATTCCAAACCAATACACCACTCGGCAAACAATTTGTTCAGGTAACTACTTTGAAATTGATTTCCAATTTTCGAAATTCCATAATCTATGTTGTTCTCAATATATTCATACAACAAAAAAAAAAAAAGGAAAAAGGGATAGATAAATGCAGAAAACGAAATATGTGGATTTAAACTCAATACTCATTCAGTCCAATCGAAATTCCGATCCTTGATCTCCAATCCTTGCTCCCCAATATTGCTTTACTGTAACTGAAATTCTGAAGCAATGAAGGGCAGTAGAAACCTGAAGTTACCGTCAACTTTT